CAGGTGGGGCTGGGCTGCAGGGTGTCCACCCTTCTGCCCCTACCCTGTCCCAGACCTTCAGCCTCTGGGGATCCAGCTTCTGGCCACTGCTCCTAGGACTTGTCTCCCCTACTCGCTGCGTCTGCAGTCACGATGCTCCATGTCTGAAAGGGGTGCTCCACCTGCGGGTCCTGGGGCCCTGCCAGAGGTTTCTGGAGATGCTGGTTGACCCAGCCTCTTGGGGAAGAAGGGAAGATGCTAGGCTAAGGGAGTGACCCAGGGGTGGAGCCCAACCTGTTTATAGGATTGTGGCTCCTTGGATGTGGGCAGATTGACAACCCCATCCCACTGGAATAGTTACTGCCAGCTGGCCAAGGAGCTGACATTTTGGCAGGAGCCTGTCCTGGAGTGGAGCCAGAAGGGTTGGTATGGAGAGACTGACAACGAGGGGACCAGCTGGCCACCCTCACCAGGTAACAGTGTCATCAAGCCCCTGGGCATCACTCAGGGCGGGGCCTGGGGCTGGGGTGCATTCTGAGAAGCTTGACGCAGCGCAGACCAAGGTGATCCTGGCCTCAAAGGCCAGGGTCCCAAAGCTGGGGGTCTCTGCCTAGGCAGAGGCCGAGGCTGGGAGGCAGAGGGTACAAGAGTCTGTGCCTGGGGATGAAGAGTTAGGGGAGGGTGGATGAATGACCAACATCCATAGACGTGAGGGCCTGTGTTCTCCTTTAGAGCCTCTTACCCTCCTCCCCGCCAAAGCTTGCATGCCGCGTCAGAGAACACAGTGGCTGTGTGTCACAAGAGGACACCCCACCAGGCCCAGAGTTCATCACTGCAGGGAGTGGACCTCCTGGAACTGGCGGGGACCAAGGAACCCCCTTGTGTGTCCCCAGAGCTTTGCAGGCCAAGTCCCCGTCCACTGCCAGTTACTTACTGGACCCAGAGAAGAGGCTGCAACCAGGCCAAAGAGATCTACAAACTGCTAGCCCCACTCCTTCCCCATGCTTCCTCTCAGCCAGATTTCTCATTCTCTGCTGTGGACCGAGGCCAAGAGGGACTGGCTCTTCGGGTCTCCCCGGGTGCCCCAGGCAGGGGCCATGAAAGAGGCTAAGTGTGCCAAGCTCACCATCCTGAGGCATTTGTCTCATCCTCAGACTTTGCCAGGCTTCTGGAGCCTTGGCCCTGAGACCCAGGCCCGAGTCGGATCCAGCCAAGTAGCCCCAGACCGGTACTCCTGGAGAAGACGTGCCTGGCTCAAGCCAGGTACCAGGCCATCCTGGGAAATACAGAGAGGGAACCCTCCATTGAAGGACAACACCTCCTGCCCCAGCCCCTGTCAGCCTGAGGTCTAGAGGAGGCCCCCCCAACAAGGTGGACATTAGTGAAGACGCCCAGATGGCTGCCTGGGAAGACCCCAAGGCTGCAGGAGCAGGGAGGTGGAAGGGCCCTAGCTCTAGCTCTGTCTGCTCCTCCCATCAGGAGCTTGAGCCCCAGAGCCCAGCTGTGGAGGTTTCTGATGTATCTGTGCTCATCTTCATCTCCCTGGAGAAGACTGGGCACCCTTTTCCTGCTGCCCTCTGCCTGCTCTAGACCCAGCCTAGGGGCAAAACTGAAGGCCAGTGCGCAGTGACTCTGGCGGCTTGAGTCTACCCACATGCCTGGAAAGCACATGGCCTCCCGCTGATGCTGTTGGGATTGGTTGAATCCCCGAGATCAGGCCCTTAACCCCCAGCCTTCAAGGTGGCTCCCAGGGCAGGCTCAGCAGTGGCCTCACCCAGCTTCGTTCCTGCTGGAACAGGGACTGGAGCCCGCCCTGGCAGTAGGAGCTGGGCCAGCAGGGCAGGCCAGGCATCCAGGACTGGCTCTGGGACGTGCCTGCTGCGTGATCCAGGAGCATCGGCTCAGCATGACTCAGGAGATACAGGGTCTGAGGCTGGGCCTGAAGTCTCCACTCCTCTCTCCAACCATAGTGGGTCGCTTGGGGCCAGCAGGGGGAAAGGCAGCTTGCTCATTGTCTTCTTGCTGGTGAAGACCCCATGGTCTGGATCCCTGTACGGGAACTCCAGCCCTGTCAAACTCGCTTGGGTCACTTCCCCGGTGATGGGCAGGGGCCAGCACTGAGCCTCTCCACAGGGAGGAGGCTGGAGGAGGCCCTGGGGTCCCTGCACAGGGAGAAACAGGGGCTGAGACTTGCAGCAGGGAGGTACTCCCAGGAGCCTACAGGAAGCTGGGCAGGGGGGAATCCCTGCTGGAGAAGCCCTCCACAGCATTCAGGGTCGGTCATCAATCAAGGCAGTATTTCAGACAGGAGGACATTTCAACAGGGAGGGGAAGACCCAGGGCCCTCAGGAGAATCATATCAGTTAGTTCAATATCCATATTGGTCTAAAACAAATCTAAGAAATTCTGTTTTGATATCCAGAGAGAAGTGGGGGAAAGTTGCATGCTTTTACAAAGGAGCCAAGTCCTGGGGAGGTAGAACAGTGCAGGGGATGTGAGCTCTGGCCTTGAAGACAGAAGGGCTTGAATCCTACCTAGGTCACCTGCTAACTCTGTGACCTGTGCAAACTTTTCTAAGCCTCAATTCTCTCATCTGTAAAATGGGAGGAAATGAGAGTACTATCTTAGGAGGTGTCAGGAGGATAAATCAAGTTGGAATACATAACCTGCTTAGTACAGCACCTAGAAATATAACAAGCACTTAATAAATAGTAATAAGACCAAATACCTAGCAACTGCTTACTTTTTTGCTAAGCATTCTACAGGCATTAACACATTTAGCCTCTATTAATTAGTCCCACTACTTATGAGGAAACCGAAGTACTGAGAGGCTTAGTGACTTGTCCAGGGTCACACAGCAAGTAAGCAGGGGACTGAGGTTGAGATCCAGATATCCTGGCTGGGAGCCTGCCTTGCCCACTCCACTCAACCTCCCCGAGTAATGACCCGTCACTGTATTTATTGTCACAGCCCATCCTATGGCGTTCTGTCTTGGTGATGGTTTTAGAGGTAATGAGAAATGGGGTTTCACCCTGGGAAAAATATCCTTCCAGGGGACAGTGGGCTTTCTGAGGTTGAGAGGCTCTTGATGACCAGAGAGAGAAACGGGCAACGATGCTTAAATTGGGCACGGTGACTGGCTGGAAAGGAGCAGGTGGGGACAGCTCTAGAGCCGCCACAGGCTGTGTGTGGTCTTGGGGATGAAGGGAGTCTGGGCTGCCTCTGTCCTTCCCCTGTCTTGGAGTGCACACGGAAGTTCAGCTCTGTCCAGGGTCCCGGGGGCCCAGCCAGCACTTTCTCTGTGGTGGGCAGTGATGGATCTGGGCGCAGGGAGGAAATAGAGCCAGGTGTCTCAAAAGCCGTAACATCTCTGCCATTTATAAACTCTGGCTTAAGGCCCCTAGAGTCAAAATGTTGCTGGCATCCCTGGAGTTAATCCCCAAGAAGGGAGAAACCAGTGTGCCCTGGTTGGGGCGGGGGGCGGAATGCAGGAAGGTTGGGGTATCACACTTGCTTTTCCAGAAAGTTGACAGGAATGACAAAGACACTCAGCATGAAGGTGCAGGAGAGAGATGCGAGGACCCACAGGGCTCCTGAGTGGCTTTGCTGTGGCCTCATCATCCTTTAAATTTCTCTGTGGGAATGGACAGACAGTCTGCGGACACTGAGGCAACCCTCAGCAGACAGCAACTGTGCAGAGCCCAGACGGGTTCCTGGCAGGAGACTTCGGGGTCACAGGCACGGAGGGGACTGGTGACGGGAGGGCACAAAGCAGAAGAACTCTTGGGTTTCATCACAACACTGTCTCCCAGGACCCCGCAGGGCCGAATGTTGGTCCTGCAAGCCCAGTGCTGCCTCTGCCTCAGATGGCGGGGGCTTACCATAAGAAACTGGTGCAGGGCACCCAGAAAGAGCAAACTGTAGCTAGGCCTCAAGAAGAACAGAAACCCAAGCCCCGCCTCCACCCCGGGGTTCCAGGCGGTGGCAAGGACCTCAGCAGTAGGGATTTGAGGAGAGCCCCCTTGTGCCCTGTCCCCAGAAGGACTTGGCACACCCTATTTGCCTTCTGCTTTTCCTTTACCACCTCTGCTCCCTTTGCCCCCATGAGCCCGTGCCCACTCTGGTTCTGCTTCCTCCTCGCTGCGCTTGGCTGTGGGCTGCCGTGGCTTCCCCAGGGTTTTAGTACATGTCCAGTGCGGCGACCATTCCTTGGTCCTCGTTTCCCCGTTGTCACCTCTACACGGTGCAATTCTGTCCCTGAAGGGGAAGGGGTCCCACAGATTCCATCCCCCATTGGTCTGCCTGCCCTGACTGCTGCAGCCCAGGACCACGGCCCCGAGGACAGTGGTGGGCAAAGGCTGTTTGCCCCCAAACGCCTGGCAGCATCACTGACCTTGTGAGGAGAAACCTCAGCACAGAGGGGTGGGGCTGGGGCCCTGAGCAGGAGGGACCGAGCAGTCTGTTCTTTCTCTCCAGGGGGAGGCCTCTGCCTGCTGGCGGCTCACTGTGAGGGTCCTGGAGGCACGGAACCTGGGCTGGACTGACCTGTGTGAGTAACTATTTCCTGGGCTCGAGGGGTGTAGAGATGACCAGGCCCTACGGGAAAGGCCCAGGTGAGAACTTGGGGGCTGGGCTGGGCTGCCCACAGTGGCTGCCAAGGTCATGGCAAGAACCTGGCGAGGCCCCTGGAGAGGAGTGTAAGGAATTCTCTCTTACCCTGTTCTCTTGACATTGCCAGTGAGTGAGGCAGACCCCTATGTGACCCTACAGCTGCCAACCGTCCCTGGAACAAAGTTTAAGACCAAAACAATCACCAACACCAGTCATCCTGTATGGAATGAGACCTTCAGTTTCCTAATCCAGAGTCAGGTCAAGGTAAAGGCCAGTACCACCCACCTAAGGACCGGCTGTATCCTTCTTTTGGAGCACACCTTCCTCCAGGGCTCAGTCAGAGACACTGGGGAGGAGTGACTTTGTTCCCAGCTTGGGTGTGCGGTGTGGGAGAGAACGTGTGATCCGCCATGTGGCTGTGAGCCTGACCTCTGGCAAGTTGCTGGTCCTCTCTAAGCCCATCTGTGGAATGGAGGCAGTTAAGAATCCCTTCCTGATGGAGCTGTTATGAGGTTAAATGAGATAATGCATGGAAGACTCCTAATACAGTGCCTGGTACATACGGTGCCTTGGGGGACCAGCAAGCGGGGGGCGGGGGGCGGCAAGCAACGGTGGGGAAATGCTGAAAGAATTTTATTTTTTATAAAAACAAAAATTAGCCGGGGGAGATTAGGAACTTTGTCGGATTTCCTTTTAGTTCTTTTAAGTTTTACTATTATTTTTATTTTGAAGTACAAAGTGTGGAGGCATAATAATCTTTTCCAACCGTGGGCATCAAGTAAAGGCTCAACAGGTATGGAGTAAAGTGATGAGTAAATAATGTGCTACATTGCTGTTCTTGGGTCCCTAGAATGTTCTGGAGCTAAATGTCTATGATGAGGACTCAGTCACCGAGGATGATGCCTGCTTCAAGTTTCTCTATGACGTCTCAGAAGTCGTCCCTGGGGAGCTGCTCCGGAAGACCTTCTCCCTGCCTCCCCAGGTGAGTGGGGAGTCCTACCCCTCTGCAGTCCAGACTGAGGAAGTTACACAGCTTCTCCCTTCTGGAATGCTGCTGTGCTCAATGCGTTCACAGGAAGAGGGAAGCCCCTCCCAGAAATTTACATTTTAATAGGAAAGGAGAAGGCTTAACTAGACTGTTAACTAGACTGAATCACCAAATGCAGAGATTTTAGTCCACTACTAGGAAGGTTTCTGGTGGTGGAGAACTTCCTAATATCAATCAAAACCCAGCCCAGGGTAACTAACCCTTGGGGCAGTTGGGGGCTCCATCACTTCTGCTCACTGCTCTCCTGCGGTGCCCAAAGCCTGCTTCATGAAGGTCTCTGCTCCTTCTCCAGTAGGTGAAGGCTGGGGAATGGGAGGGCAGGGTTCTGGGGTCAGGTCCTCTTCAAGAGGAACAGGAGATGGGCCCTGGGCATCCTTAAACCTCTTTTGGCTTGTGCTCCCCACCTCCTCCTTCAGCCCTGCCAGGGAAGGAGACCTGTTCCCCGCAGACTTATCAGCTGTGGGTAACTTGGGCGGGCAGCCCATCTTTTCCCTAATTCTCAATTTCCACGTCTGTAAAGTGGGAAGAATTGTAATACCGTGCCTCCCTGAAAGACTGCTCGAGAGGTGACAATAACATGGTCAAAGAACTGTGTCAGCTGTGAAGATATGTGCAAATGTTGACGAGTTGCTCATCTTTGATTTCAGGGGCAGGGGGAGCTGGATGTGGAGTTCCTGCTGGAAAAAACGTGAGTAATCATCACACAGCCCAGGGAGTGTCTCAGGACCCAGGCTTCATTTAAGGCAATGTCTTTGGTCCAGATTCTCTGTCCCTCGTGTCTGGGGCGGGGGGGGGGGGGGGGGGTCCTGGCCCAAGGCTGGACGGCGGGGGGGGGGGGGGGGGAAATCGTGGGTGCCCCTGACAGTGTTTCATCACCTGTGATGGACTACTAGTTCTTAGCCTCGGAAGGTGGTGGGCAAGTCATGCAAGCCAGGCCCCACTGGGGTGTTAGTACTACAGCAGCAGAGGCTCGGAGGGAGTTTCCAGTGCGCTGCGCCTCCAACCTGGGGGCGCCGGGATAGAGTCGACGGTCTGTTGGCTCCTCCTTGAGCCGGTGGAGAGTCCTGGTCAGCTCTTCGAAGACAGAGCAAGCTCACAAATCTGCAGTGGACAGGAACGGGTGGTAAATAAGGCCCGAGAAGCTTTCCACTCAAAGGTTTCAGGCCAGCAACGCAAGGCATGACCTGGGAGCAGGGCCGGGCCTAGTGTGAGGGAAGGCACTTAGAGCCCCAGACTGAAGGAGGCCTCTACCCTCAGGGTCGTACAAGGGCCTGCTTCATGGGCTAGTATTACTTTTACAAATGCACGTTAAAATCGTCATACCTACGGCAGCTGCTTTTTATCTGAGGGGATGGAGACCAGTGGTGGCAGGCTAAACTCAGCCAGTGTGCGGGAGTCAGTCAGGAGCTGGGTGGGCTTCGGGCGTCAGATGACATGCCTTACAGAGAATGCAGCGGGCTCCTTTGGCAAGCTGGTCAACTGGAGGACAGCCGGGAGATCATTCCATCATCCTGTAGACCAGTGGTTTGCATACTACTGTTTGGGAGCCGTTGTGGTAGGAAGACACTCTCCAGGCTGAGTCCGCAGAGAAACACGGAGAAGAAAGAACCGTGCCTGAGGGTCGGGCGGCCTTCAGAAATCCCCCAAGTTTGGCAAATCTTTGAAAGCTGGGGGTGTGCACGGGGTGGAGGCGGGGCTCCCCCAGCTGCTCCAGAACACCTGACTCAGCAGTCCTGGCAGATCAGAGGAGAGGGGTGGTGGTTCTGCCTCCAATCCCACGCTGGACTCTGCTTCCTGTTCTGCGTGTGGTGGATTTGGATCCGTGGGGCTCAGAGGGTGAAGTTTAGGGGACCTCAGCTTCCCCTGCCAAGCCCCCAGCCCATGATGTTGTCTGCCCCAGGCCCGAGAGCTGTCCTGCCTGGATGTCTGTCTGGACCGCACCGGGAGCACAGCCACGGTCACAGGTGAGGCCTGCTCGGGACCAGGCCTGCTCTCTGCTAGATGGGGTGGCTGGGACACCTGTGCGGGGCAGCAGGCGAGCAGCCGAGCAGAGCCTCCTTCTTGCTCACACAGCACGAGGGCGACAGGTCTCCTGTGGGCTCGAGGGTCCCCCTGACCTGGGGGAAGGTGTGTTGCAGGAGGTGGGAGTCCCATGGGGGCTGGGGAGGGCGCTCTCCAGAATCCTGTCTATTGTAGTCCAAACTCCCAGGTCTCGACCATGCCCGAGCAATACTGCCAGTTTCCTGGGGTCCCCGCTCGGATTCCTGGCTCTTGTTGCCCTCGTGCTAATCTGCCCACTCTCCCGCCTAGATCAGGACAAGCTGGAGCTGGAGCTGGAGCTGAAGGGGTCCTATGAAGACACACAGACATCTGCTCTGGGCCCAGCCTCTGCCTTCCACTTCCATTACATGGCAGCCCAAGAGGCCAACCTGAGCGCACGTCTGAGGGTGGGTCTTGGCTTTGGAGCTCTCCCCGCCATGGGCGCGGGCCCCTCTCAGGCCAACGCCAGGCCCCCGTGGCCTCGCCAGCCTCCCCCAGTGAAGCACCAAGCCCTTGGCAGACGGGGAGAACCACCACAGCCTGGCATGGGCCCGGGGACTGCCCTGCTTTGTCAGACTTGGTTTGAACCTTTCAATGGCGCCTACATCAATACTCATAGAAGAATTTCCCATATCGGTGCCTCCAAGGCCCTGCATGGCCTGGCCCTTGCTCACCTCTGCTGCCTCACTTTGTTCCATGCTCCCCCTCTGTCATGATGCCCCAGCCATATTTATCTCTTCCCGCTTTCCCAACATGCCAAGGGCCTTCTGTGTTCTCCTCCGTCTCCTTCCGAGACTGCTGCCTCCTTCTCTTCCTCCTCTTTTAGATCTCAGCTCAAAGGGCCCCTCTTGACCCCCATCTTAAATAGACCCCTACACACCCCACCTTTCCTTATGGTATCGTATCACCCTGCTCATTTCCTTTACAACATTTTTTCCCTTTATAACATTCGCTAACATCTGTTCACTACCTATTTTGTGATAAATTCAGATACATAATTCAGTTAGAACAAAAAATATCAGCAAGTATTTTAATAATTAGTAATTATAAGTATTATAGTAACTAAATATTGTGCTTATTTTTACATTATCAGAGAGAGACTGTGTCTGTCTAGATACTCAGTAAGGATTGGTTGAATGAATATTTCCCTCCAGAGCTCTGCAAGCAATGGCTGGAATTCAGACAAGTCAGCTGGGCACCTCACTGTGCCCCTGAGGTCCTTGGCCATGGGAAAGGAGGTGACCATTAACATTCCTGCCACAAATGTAAGTGGCCTCGACTGGATGGGAAGTGCCAGTGAGAATAAAGATGGGGCGCCCAGGCCCCCAGGGGGTACCCACATTCCCCTGAGGGTTGAGGATATTCTAGTATGGTCTCTTGCTTTGATTTCAGACACCAGGAGTGAGGCTGCAGCTCAAGGCTGAGGGCTGGTAAGAGACGTTCATATCTGTGGGGGATGGTGTGGGGTGGTTGTGAGGCAGGGAGTGCTGTGGAAAGGGTGGCCCTTGGGGTTGGGAGCAGGGAAGTAATTTGGCAGCTGTCAGGGGCTTGGCCAGCCAGTGGCTGAGCTATGCAGTGCCCCTGACCCTCAGATCTTCTACTGCCCCAGCCCTAAGGAGCTGGCTGTGCACCTGGGCTTCGATCTATGCGCAGAGGAGAAAGCCTTTCTGAGCAGGAGGAAGCAAGTGGTGGCTAAGGCTCTAAAGCAGGCCCTGCAGCTGGACAGAGACCTACAAGAGGATGAGGTTTGGGGGTACTGGGGAATGTGGGTGCAATACCTTGGACTGGCCTTAAGGAAGTACCCGATTCCGCTGCCCTCTCCAGATGCTCCAGTTGCAGAGATGGGAGTGGCTGTGTGGTGGGTGGGGGTGAGCTTTGGGGTTCTCACTCCTTTTTGGGCCCTGTCCAGGGCCGAGAGCTGTCACTTCCTGGGCGAGGGGCTGGGTGCTAGGTCTAACCCCGACTCCATCAGGCCCTGGCCCCGAGGTCCCTTCCATCCTGGTCCCGGTTAAGCCAGCCTGTGTCTGTTTCGGTCCAGGTCCCTGTTGTGGGCATCATGGCCACAGGAGGAGGTGCCCGGGCCATGACCTCTCTCTACGGCCACCTGTTGGCCCTGCAGAAGCTGGGCCTCCTGGACTGTGTGACCTACTTCAGCGGCATCTCGGGCTCTACATGGTGAGGGCCGTGGGGACTGGAAGAGCAGAGATGATCAGGTCCCAAAGGGGAATGGAGTAGAAACCGGGGAACCCCTCTACATGTGGAAGCCAAGTGGGTCTGAGCAGTATAGTCTGGTGGGTGTCAGGTGGCTTTCTCAGAAGGGAGGAAGTAGATATTACAGAGGTCCTCCTGTGAGAGAGGCATTGGAGGACACCATTCCACACTACTGGAGAGGCCCAAGGCAGCTGATTCAGGAGGAGCTGGGGTTTGAGTCTCTGCCACACCACTTACTGGGCAACTGATTTCCTCTGATTCTCAATTGACTCATCTCCAGAACGGGGGTAATAGTAGTACTTATTCCACAGGATTGTCCTGGGGCAGCCCAAGTAAAACACTTATCTTGTCTGACATGTACCAGGAACTCCAAGTCGGTAGCTCTTTTTTCTTTAAACATTATTATCTCATTTAAATCCTTGTAAGACTCTCTAGGGTAGTTTCTTTTGCTGTCCCTATAGTATAGATGGAGAAATTTAGATGAAGAGATACTACCTTACCTCTTACCTAAAGACAACGTTGCCTCCCTATAACCCCACCCTGCCTATGATGAGGTGGGACTTTTCACTGTTAGAGATTCGTTCCTTTGAGTCTTATTGAAATGTGACTTTAAGGAGTAAAAGGAGAGTAAACTCAGAGGACTTATGTGACAGCTGTTGACAAGCAGAGTCTTAAAGGGCTTCAGGACAGGCCCATGAAGATGGGTGTTGGGTCTAGATCTGTTCTGTACAATGCAGTAGCCACTAGTCATATGTGGTTATCGACCACTTGAAATGTGGCTAGTCCAAATTGAGATGTGTTATAAAGATAAAATAGGGAATTTCGAAGACTTAGCTAGAAAAAATATAAATTTATGTTAATTTTTTTATATTGATTACATGTTGAAATGAGAATTTTTAGATATATTGAATTAAGATAATACTATTAAAATTAAATTTTAAGGGGCGCCTGGGTGGCTCAGTCGGTTAAGCGTCTTCCTTCAGCTCAGGTCATGGTCCCAGGGTCCTGGGATCGAGCCCAACATTCGGCTCCCTGCTCCGCGGGAAGCCTGCTTCTCCCTCTCCCACTCCCCCTGCTTGTGTTCCCTCTCTCGCTGTGTCTCTCTCTGTCAAATAAAAAAAATCTTTTTAAAAAATTAATTTTTATTGCTCTCTTCTTACTTTTTAAAAAATGTGGCTACTGGGAAATTTCAAATTACATCTGTGGCTCACATTATATTTATATTGGACAGCGCTGATCTGGAAGAAAACCCCGAGACACATTTTCCAGATGGGCAGGGCCTTGGCTGCAGGATCACCACATTGGGAGCAGTGGGAGGGTGGCAAGGAGATGTAGCAGCGAGCCAAGCTGGGCCTCCGCCTCCCACCATACTGTCCCTTTATTCTCCTAGGGCAATGGCCCACCTCTACGGGGACCCTGAGTGGTCACAGAAGGACCTCGAAGGACCCATCAAATATGCCAGAGAGCACCTGGTCAAGAGCAAGATGGAGGCCTTCTCCCCGGAGCGCCTTGCGAGCTACCACCAAGAGCTGGAGCTGCGGGCCAAACAGGGCCACCCCACGACTTTTGTGGACCTGTGGGCTCTCGTGCTGGAGTTCATGCTGCACGGCCAGGTAGGGTACCAATGCTGGCAAGGCGAAACGTGAGTGCACCTGCGGGGCTGGGGCAGCCTTGCAGTTAGCTACTGCGCCTGCGCCTTTCCTACAGGGTGAGGGAGGCTGGGATCTGTGGGGAAAGGGCGCGGGGATCACAGTGTCTCCGTGGCTACTGTACTTTGGGATGCTGCCTTTTTGAGTCAGGCTGTTTTTCAGTTCTTTGCCATGAAACAGAGATTTCTACATCTCTCAAGAGCTTAGGGATGAGTCGATGCCAAAGTCAGTTAGGCAAACAAAACTTTGACATTATGTTTGTCAGTGAGATTGCTCGAATAATTTTTATCTTATTAATACTGCAATATAGAATGTCTTCTTCCTCTACATCTTCATGGTACTGTTAAAAGCACAGACTCTGGAGCCAGATTCCCCAGGTTTAATCTCAGCGCCTCTCACTAGCTATGTGTTCCTTCGCAAGTTACTAATCTCTCCGTGCCTGGGTTTTCTCATCTGTTCAGTGGGGGCGAGTGAGAATAGTACTTACTTCACAGGCTGGTTGTGAACACTGAGTGGTACTTTGGCATAGAGTTAGCATTGTTAGCTATTATAGTTCTTTCTTTTTTTTAGAGATTTTATTTTATTTATTTGAGAGAGAGAGCAAGAGAGAACACAAGCACGGGGGGAGAGGAAGAAGCTGGTTCCCCGCGGCGCAGGGAGCCTGGGATCATGACCTGAGCGGAAGGCAGAGGCTTAAACCTTGGAGCCACCCAGGTGCCCCAGCTATTATATTTCTCTACTGTTTATTGTAATGCCATGAAGACCAAACTGAGCAGATACATTTTTTTTTAACTTGCTTCTTTAAGGAAAGTTTAGTAAGTCCGCTGTTAAATCTTACATTAACTGATACAATTATTAAAATCAGTTATTTTTTTCCCACTATTGTTTTACCACAGGTAATTATCTGAACATTTCTTTTGAAGCATTTGAAACAACTAAAACATACACAAAAAAGTATCTTTAACATTCATAATAAAAAAGTAAACTATCAAATATATTAGCAGAGGAAGGATTCTTGCCTTTCTTATCTTTGGGTATCAGGAGTTTGACCAAGAAAGATTATTATGTAAACTAACCAAAAATGAATTTGCTTTGGATTTTTTTCTTTAAGTGTTATTCTTGCTGGTAAGAACAATGCTACTTGGAAATTACCAACCATTCTTATTTTTTATGTATTAGTTTAAAAATATTATAAAAATAATATTTATCATTAAATATTACAATAATCTTCAGACCTAAGAAAATGCATAAAGCATAAAGAATAATGTAATGAATATGCACAATCTCACCAACCAGCCTAAGAAATAGTATGTTACAGAAAGAATTGAAGCCCCCCTGTGGATGCCTCCCCAGTCCCATATCATCATATGCATATCTTCAGTCTGTATACATGATTGTATCATGTAATACATAACATATAATTCCATAACATACTTTATTTACCTCTGTTATATATTTTATTGTATATACCTTTTATTATACATCCTTAAGAAAATTACAGTGTTACTTGCACAGATGATTTCAAACAAGTCTCCTTGTGCGCAAATGTTAAGAGATTCTCTGAGCCTCCAAGATACATACCCAGGAGTGGGATTGTTAGGCAGTTTGGGTACTTGTATCTTCAGCTTTCCTGCCTATTGCCAAATCATTCTCCAAAAAGGTTTCATTAATTCACACTCCCACCATCAGTGTATCAGCATTTCTTTTTCTCTACACGCTCTTCAGACTTTTAGTTTTTTGTTCATTTTATGGGTGTCATACAAAATTTTATTGTGGCTTTCTATTTCCTTGATTTTTAGTGAGACTGATCTTATTTTCAAGTATATTTGTCATTGGGACTTCCTCTTCCATGGATTACCTACTCAAGTCCTTTTCCATTTTTCTGTTAATTCATCTTTAATATTATTTTGTGGGAGTTCCTTATAGATTCTGGATATTAATCCTTTATCAGTTCCACTAGATTTTGATGCATAATTTTAATATAACCTGGTGTATCATTCTTTTCCTTTATGGTCTGTGCTTTTAGAGTCTCCCTAGAGAAATCTTTCCCTCTCCTAAAGTTATAAAATATCTTCCTATGTATCCTTATAAAAGTTTTAAAGATTTGTTTTTCACAATTAGGAATTTAATCTTTAATATATCTTCAGGTATTATGTGAACACAAACCCTGTTTTATTTTTTTTCCATATGGATTGCAAACTTTCCGAATGTCACTTAGACTTTTTTCTCCACAAATCTGCGTTACTACTTGTGTCCTATGTCAGCTTTCATATATTCATGGGACTCTTCCTGAGTTCTCTTCCATTCCAATGGGGCTGATTCTCTAACATGTGCCAACACTGCACTGGATTAGAGACTCTACGGTGGTAATGCATGCTGGTATCTGATAGGACAGGTTTACCCCCATTTGCCACCTTGGTTTTTCTCAGAATTACCCTGGCTCCTTTTGGCCCTTTGCTCCTCTATACATGTAATAGAATCAGCTAGTCGTGTTTCATGGGAAATGTTAGCATTTTTATTGAGAGGCGCCTGGGTGGCTCAATTGGTGAAGCATCAGACTCTTGGTTTCCGCTCGGGTCATGATCTCAGGGTCCTAGGATGGAGCCCCATGTGGGGCTCCCTGCTCAGCGAGGAGGCGGCTTATCTTCCTCTCTCTCTGCCCCTCCCCCCCATGCGCACGCTCTCTCTCTCTCTCTCTCAAATAAATCAATAAATCTTTTTAAAAAAAGAATTTTTATTGAAATGACATTTAATTTATAAAACCAATGTAACTACTTGAAGTATTTTTACTTTATTAATGTATCCTATGTATTCTTTAGATCTGTATCTTAAGTTCATGTTTAGTTGTGAGGGTATTGTGTTTTATTAATGACTTTTCTGCCTGGTAGTGGCAATTAATTACTGTAGAGTTGGGAGAAGCTTGTTTTAACAGTTTACTTTATGAGGTGCTAAAAAATGCAGTTTGATCCAAAGCTTTAAAGAAGACTTTTATTTAATTACCATTTGATCCTTCAGTAATGACTTAATGCATGGTATTATATACAAGGTTTAGAGTCTATTTTTAAAAGACAAACTTAATAAGGTTTGGGGTGTTTTTGGTTCACAAGAAATCTTGTGGTATTATTGAACAAACAATGCATCCTTAAAAATGAGCACCCATGTGGTTTTAAAAATTTTGTCTCAATATTAAAGCTTTTCAAATATTCTTTTTTTTTTAGTTATTATGCTCTATCTCTTAAAGCTAACATTCATTATATGCTTTTTAAAATAATTCTTTAATCAGAGAAATTTAGTGTGTATTTCAAATTTAAGTTTTTGGGTAAAAGCATTTATTATCTCTATTTTATGCTAATGTACAACTCTAAAAGTCATTTTAAATGTCAGAAAATATAACTCCATAAGAAATAACAATTTCATTATTATTATTACAGAAATAGTATACCCTGAACTTTATACAGAACTTTATTAGTCTACACACTTCTATAATATTGCTTCAGTTTTTGTTAAAAGAAAAAGTGCTTGTAAAATATACCAGTTATGATCAAACTATGTCTTTCAAACTTTTTTCTTTAGTCTTTTGCTGACAAGCACTGAACTGCTTAGAAGCTGCTCACCGTTCCTTAGGAGGAAACTCATAGTTTTTCTCTTGCTTTTTTCTGAGTCAAGAAGGTCTTACATGTTTTTCTTCACTTCTGGCCAAAAAGGTTTTGCCATTAGTCCCCCCTGCCCATACAGTGCCTAGACCATGTCAACACATGGTCAACACCACACCCAGCTCCCACACCTCAGGGGGACCCTTGAGTCATCATCAGAGGGGTGCTCTGTAGCGTTGGGGATGCTCATTTGGAAACGGGGGGCCTGGAGATCCAGAGGCCTGCCACCACTGGTGAGTTATTAGAAGGAAAAAGAATACTGGGTGTTATTTCGGTAGATGGAGGGATGTGCTGACCCTTTTCCCTCAGGTCAGAAATGGTGCATCTGGAGTAAAAGATCACATTTCCCCTCATCTTACATGTCCAAAGAGCAGGCAAACAGGATTCCTGAATAAAAAGACTTTGAGAAGGGAAATTGCAGTTATTAATCAAGGTCCCCCCCCTCTACAGTATGTACATACACTCACACCTGCGGGACTGACTTGCAGCTATGATGCATAGCGCCAGGGCCTTGAGCCACATTGGGGGATTTTTCCTGTGGGTTCCCTCTAACTCAAGTCCTATAGGGTACCCCTGTGGAACTGGGGGGAAAGATGACCCATCAGTGACAGAGGTCTTTGGGAGGAAGAAGTACACCTGGGCCTTGCCACGGGTGTGGGAGGGGGGACTCCTCATTGGGAAGGTGGGGCTAGAATCCTGGGACACACACCTGGCTGATCATCAGAATTTCCTAGGGAAATTGAAGAAACAAATTCCTCAGCGAGAATCTCCTGATTCTCAGAAGTAACCTCGTAATCTGTTTAGCACATCCTCTAGGTAAATCAGATGATAAGGGCGGATTGGGCTGTTTGGGAACCCCCTAGGTCTAGCTGCTGAGTGAGGTGCCTTCCAGTTCAGAGAACCCGAGAGAGGGATTGTACATCTGTGGGACATCCCACCCCGTCAGAAGCAGCCGCGGCCTGTGGCAGGCTCCTTCCCAAGGGCGGCTCTGGGCAGCCACCACCATTAACCTTGCTGATGCTGGACAGGAACCCTATTGGCATCTCTGGTCTGGGATACAACGAGACCCTTCTGTGCCCCTAGAACTCTGGGAGGCTCTCCCAAAAGGCAAGCCATAGTTCCTGCCATCAAGGCAGAACTTGGTGTTTCACTGAAGAGAAAATTGGAAACGGAGGCAAGAATAAACAACGAGGTACAACATCATACTGTGCAAAGCAGGAAAGAGGGGGGCAGGTAAGGGGGAGGCAAGGATGCCTGGAAAGCATTTTGGAGGGGCCAAGACTTGGACTGCATTCGTGTGAATCTAGAAGAGGCAGCCCACCCCCTGACAGAGCTTATGGTGTATACTAAAATGGGATTCCCGTGTCCTTTCTGGAAAGCAGTGTGTGTGTGTGTGTGTCTTTGTGTCTGTGCATCAGGGTCCACATCCCCTCCACCCTTCAACTCATAAAGATGGGGCCAAGGACCGCAGGAGCAGAGGTGGGGTGTCACTATGGACACCACAGTCCTTGTGAATGGCCTTCTCCTGAGATACGCAGTGCACAACCTCCATAGCCTTCCATGGCGACCCTGCATCTGGTCAGAATATGGGGGTGGGAGTGGGAACTGGATGAGTGCACCCACCCATGCCACCCAAATTCCAATGGAGAGCTGCCTCACCCTCAGGGTGTGCCCCCCCTCCACCCAGTCCTGCTGGAGTTGCTGCCTCTAGGGTGCTTCCAACCACACCTAGGCCCTCATGCCTCCCACCCCAGGTGACGGATCAGAAGCTGTCGGAACAGAGAGCAGCTCTGGAGCAGGGCCAGAACCCTCTACCCCTCTACTTGAGCCTCAATGTCAAAGAGAACAACCTGGAGACCCTCGACTTCAAGGGTACAGTCTTCAGCCCTGTCCACATAACCCTCCAACACGCACACACACACACACACACACACACACACACCTCCTGTGCACCCTGCGGGTCTTCAGAGAATTGAAACAGGAAACTCCTACACAGATTGCTCAGCCTTCTGGAAGGGAGGCGGTTCTGATGAGCTGATGAGCCAGGCCGCAGAGCTCACTGTCCTGGTGGTGGAGGTGGTGGGGATGTGCTCAAGGGGCTGGATGGAGGGAGTCAGCCAGGCAGCGAAAAGGCTGGGGCCTGCTGGGGGGGGGGGGCAGCATCTTTGGCCCCTGTGAGAGCTGGGGCTCCCCGCTCAGCCCACTCTCCTCTCATTCCCGCCTCTCACTCCTGTTCCCATAGAGTGGGTGGAGTTTTCCCCCTATGAGGTGGGGTTCCTGAAGTATGGAGCCTACGTCCCTAGCGAGCTCTTCGGCTCCGAGTTCTTCATGGGGCAGCTGATGAGGAGGCTCCCTGAGTCCCGGATCTGCTTTCTGGAAGGTGAGTGGTGGTTACTCCGAAGATTCTGGCTGATCCTGGGCCAGGCCTCCCTGACTGGACATGATTCCTGTACCCGGGTCTGGCAGAGCCCCTGGGGTGGGGCACCACCGGGGTGGGGCTGTGGGGAAGAGCTACTGTCCAAGCAGCCCACCTGCCTCCCATTTTCCATCCCCGCCCTCCATGTGATGGGAGGCTGTGTGCTGAGGCCTGAGGCTGACTTATGTGGGGGTTTGGCCTTCAGGTATCTGGAGCAACATTTTCTCCCTCAACTTGCTGGATGTCTGGTATGACCTCCTCAGCTCTGATGACACCCGGAAGCAGCACATCAAGGACAAGATCAGGAACGTGGGTAAGAAGCCGGGCCGGGAGGGGAGGCTGGGATGAGGCGCCTTCCTCTTCAGATGCTTGGGGGAGGGGCACTCTCCGAGGGGAAGCAGGGCCAGGCATTTCCAGGCCTTTCACCGGACCAAGGTCTGTTTCTCTGAGCCCAGAGGAGTCTCCTGCCTCCTTGAGGACCTCCTCATGGCTGGAGGCCTCATGGCTGCAACCCGGGACGGCCCTGGCCAAGGCGTTTAAGGGCTTGCTGACAGGCAGGCCACTCCACCAGCACAGCTGCAACTTCCTCTGGGGCCTCCAGATGCACCAGGGCTACTACAGCCAGAAAGACTTCTCCACCTGGGCAGGTAAGGGCCCCTGCCGTGTCTCCGCAGGGAGCAAGCTTGGGTTCCCAGCGGGGACATGGACCGTGGTTAGGACTGGCAGAGGACTTGGGGGGGTGGGTCACAGCATCCCCTTCTGGGGTTGGCCTGCAAAAGGTCTTGGGAAGGGCTGGGGTGGCGTGTGCCTACAGCGAGTGACGCCAGAGGACAGAAGGGGACATGGAGGCAAATGCAGTGTGAAGGGTAGAAGACATGTGGCAGAGTGGCTGTCCCCTGACTATTACCTGCCTTCCCCATCAGACTGCCAGCTAGACTCCACCGCTAGCCAGCTGACCCCTCAGGAGCCCCAGCTCTGCCTGGTAGATGCCGGCTACTTCCTCAACACCAGCTGTCCCTCCATGTTCCGGCCAGGCCGCAGGCTGGACCTCATTCTCTCCTTCGACTACTCCCTACCCTCACCCTTTGAGGTGCCTCTCTTTGCCCCATGGAAACCCCAGACACCCTGCAGCCAGGCCATGCTCCAGGGGCCACTGACCCTGACCTCCTGGGTCCCCAAGGGGAGGGAAGGGTGACAGGCTCTGACTCACAGACTCCTGCCAGGGCCCTCGGTTGGGAGGGGCTGTGGAGGTGCTGGGGCCCTGGGCTCCCAGGACAGGTGGGCAGGGAAGAAGCTCGCTGCGCCCACCCCAAGAAGAGCAGCTAGACGAAGCTGGAAGGAGACCCTGGCCTGTCCACATGCATCCCCCTCAGGGCCTCCCTGGGGACTCGGGAGCAGGGCGGGCTGGGGGCAGGAATAGGGCCCTGGTACACAAGTGGGTCCCCTACTGAGGCCTCCAGGCTCTGGGATTTGCATAACCTAACAACAGAATCCCAAATGGGAGCAGGGGTGCTAGGTCTGTGCCTCCCCTGAAGATATTAACCAAACAACATGGCAGACTGCTGGAATCCTTCGCCTCCCTCTGAGGAGACACCGTGTATCTTAACTGGGCCACACAGAGGCCAGGACCAGGTTGTCTTGACACTGAGTGGTCAGTTGGGCTGGAGCTCTAGCATTTTCTAGAGCACTGACCTGAGACGACCAGGAAGTAGCCGGTTCTCTCTGGGCCCCCCTCCCCGCAACCAGGCGCTGCAGCAGACTGAGGTGTACTGCCGGGCCCGGGGACTGCCATTCCCTCGAGTGGAGCCCAGCCCTCAGGACCAACGCCAGCCGACAGAGTGCCACCTCTTCTCAGACCCCTCCTGCCCCGATGCCCCGGTCCTGCTGCACTTCCCGCTGGTCAACGCCTCCTTCAGGGACCACTCAGCCCCCGGTAAGGCATCCCCTCCCTTCCTCACAGCCTGGCAGCCTGACCCTCAGAGGCACTGCCTGCGTCCTTCCCAGTGCTCCTGCGGCCAGCGGAGGGAGGGGGTCCTCAGGCCAGTCCCACCCTGCTCTGGACACAGCAGTGTGCTGGTCTCTGTGGGGATGCCACATCCCTGCAGGGGCTCTCTGCTGGCAAAGTCACCGTGCTGCTGTCCTGTCATGACCCCAGGCTCCTATGGCCCCCACCGCCCCCAGCTGCACCTGGGCTCTTCTGCTCTCCTGCTCTGGGGTGGTGTGTGGGAATCCCTGCTTCCAGAGGCCCTCCTGCGTGGTCCCCGTCTGCAGACGTCTCCACCCCTGCTTGGGCACCACGTTGTTGGAGGGCTAGGCAGCCAGGACGGAGGGGCCCCCGGGCCCCGGGCTCTCAGATTTCTCCTGACGCTACCTGGGATTTCAGCTGGATTCTCCCCTCCTACCCCAGCCCTGCCTGTGGTCTTTTCTCAGGAAGCTGGGCCTCTACTCTGGGGTCCCTGAAATGTAAACCCTCATCACATGCCTTCCAATCCTTCCCTTCCGCCAACTAGTCCGCCTTTTCTGGTGGGGAAGCCTCACTTCTGCTTTTGTCCGTTATTCCTGGCTTTCTGGTTCCCGCTCTAATTCCAAACCTTCCAGCTTTACCCTTAACAGGCTCAGCCCACATCTTAGAATTCTCTCTTTCTCTCTCTCTCTGTCTCAACGAAGACTGGTTCTTAAAAAGCAAAAATCCCTTTGGTTTTCAGACTCTTGTTTCCATCATGTGTTTTAAAAATCCTTCACTAAGCTGACTGACTTTGTGGTCCAGCTGTTTCCACCTTGACCCTGAAGGTGAAACAGAGATACTGTCAGGTTGCCTCAAAAGTGAGAGTGCATTGCCACAAGGAAATGTGGGGAGTAGCAAACCCTTCATGTCTCAAAGTAGTACCCTACTATCTGCATTTCTATTTCTGGGCAAAGGACACAGAGGGCTGGGGCGGGGGGAAGTGAGGAGGAGCAGCCCACCCTGGCGCCCAGCCACAAGGCTTCCTTCTGCCCAGCTCTGGAGGCCTCTGGGTCCTGCTCCTAACCCCTCTCACCCCTGGGCAGGTGTCCGGCGCAGCCCTGCAGAGCTCCCAGCTGGCCAGGTGGATCTCACTGGGACCACCTCACCCTACTCCCTGTTCAACATGACCTACAAGGAGGAAGACTTTGATCGCCTGCTGCAGCTTAGTGACTATAACATACGGAACAGCCAGGGCGTCATTCTGCAGGCCTTGAGGACTGCCATGAAGCACCGGGCTCTGGGGACCAGGCCTCCAGCAGCACAGAATTGAGGCTGCTCAGGGACCCCAGCACTCTGATGACCCTCCGCGGGCTGGGGGCTTAACCCAAGCTCAGCTAGGTACGGCCACAGCCCTCGCTGGGCTGGGGTTCCCGGGCTGTCCAGGCCTGAGCCTCCTCTGCAGTGGGTCTCATGGCCCCCCAAATTCTCCCTCCCCTCCATCACTGGCTTGAGAGGAGCTGAAAGGAAACTCCTCACCAGACCAACGTGCAGCATAGCTGGTCCGACCAGACAAATGTTCACATGTGATGACTTTCATGCCAAGCTGAGCGGATTTGGGGTACAAGCTGCAGGTGTCAGAGCAGGGGTGGGAACCGGCAGGGCAGGGTCCTAACTGAGAGGTGGCTCCAGGCATCAGGAATCACACTGTGTCCTGAGAGTCTCCTCTTTGATCCCTCCTCCTCCTTCTCGCTCTTCTTTTATACTATCTCCAAGCAACCTTAGTGACATATAATCCACATACCATATCATTCATCCTTCTAGAGAGTACGACTCGATGGCTTTTACTATGTATTCACAGAGTTGGGCAAACCTCCCCACAGTCATTTTGAGAAGATTTTCATCACCCACAGAAGAAACCCCTCACCCCTCACCTGTCAACCTCAAGCCTCTCCCCCAGCCCCAGGCAACCACGAATCTACTTTCTGCTTCTATGGATTTGCTTATTGTGGACATTTCCTATACGTGGATTCATACAATATGTGGCCTTTTGTGTCTGGCTCCCTTCACTCAGCATGATGCGTGCAAGGGTTGTCCACGTGGGAGCGGGCATCAGTGCTTCATACCTTCCTATGGCTGAATAAAACTCCCACGCTTTACCTGACGGTCACTGGGTAATGAACACTTGGGTCGTTTCCAATCTTTGGCTGTTCTGAATAATGCTGCTATGAACAATCACGTACATGGCCGTATGTGGACAATGGTTTCCATTCTTTTGCATGTCCACCTAGGAGTGCACTTGCTGGATTATAATGTAATTCTCTGCTTCACCTTTTGAGGACCTGCCAGCCCATTTCCATGCTGCTGCCCCATTTTCCGTTCCTGTAGGCCTTGTACCAGGGCTCCAATTTCTCCACGTCTTAGCCCACACGTTATTGTCTGCCTTTTGATTTCAGTCATCGGAGTGGGTGTAAAGTGGTATCTTATCAGCATTTCCCTAATGACTAATGATGTTAGGGACCTTTTCACATACTGTAGGCCTTTTGTAGATCTTCTTTAGAGAAATGTCTATGCAGATCTTTTGCCCATTTTCATTGGGTCATGTGGTTTTTTTTATTATTGTTAAGAGTTCCTTATATTTTTTAGATACAAATCCCTGATCCAATGTATGATTTGCAGTTTTTCTCCTAATCTGTGGGCTGCCTTTTCACTTTCCTGAGGATATCCTTTGAAGCACAGAAGCTTTCTTATTTTGATGCTGCCATTTATATTTTCTTTTGCTACTTGTGCTTTTGGTGTCATATTTAAAAAAACCATTGTCTAATCCAAGGTCATGAAGATTTACACCTGTTTTCTGCTAATACTTTATGGCTTTAGCCCTTACATTTAGGTCTTTGATCCATTTTGAGTTAACTCTTGTATACAGTGTGAAACAGGGGTTCAACTTCATTCTTTTGCATATGCGTATCCAGCTACTCCAGCACCATTTGTTGAAAAGGCCGTTCTTTTCCCCCATTGAATGGTCTTGATACCCTCCCTGAAAATCAGTTACCTGTGGATGTGAGGGTGTATATCTAGACTTATTTCGTTGATCTATTTGTCTATCCTTATGCTATACCACACTGTTTTGATTACTGTAGTTTGTAGTCAATTTTGAAATCAGGAATTGTGAGCCTTCCAGCTTTGTTGGTGGGCATGAACAGGGTTAAGCAACTTGCTCAAGATCCCTAAACTCAAAAGTGGCAAAGCCAGCGCTGGAACTGGAGACTTTAAAATCAAGCCAGGCTTGGGGCATGTGGGTGGCTCAGGCACTTAAGCATCTGACTTTGGCTCAGGTCATGGTCTCGGGTTCCTGGGATCAAGCCCTGCGTGGGGTCCTGGGATCATGTGGGGTCCTGGGGTCTTGTGGGGTTCTGGGGTCATGTGGGGTCCTGGGGTTGGGCTCCCAGCTCAGTGGGGAGTCTGCTTCCCCTCTGCCCCCTTCCCTCTGCCCCTCCCCCTGCTCATCCTCTCTGTCTCTGTCTTTCTCAAATGAATAACTAAAATCTAAGAAAATAAAAATTAAAAAAAAAAAACCTAGCCAGGTTTCTAACTGCTACACCACACTGCATCTTTGGGTACTTACTTTATAGCATGCCCTATTGTACAATGAAGACTTAACCTAACCTAAAAAGAGGTCTGGCCTTCACTCTGGGCTACTGAGAGGTGATCTCTTTACCCCTTGAATGGCCTGCCTGCTGGGAGTGTCTTTGTTTGCCTGGGGCTCTGGCCGCTGGACAGCCTCACAGTGTGATTTGTGACGGGAACTCTGGAATAGTCGGTGTCCGTTCCCACCTCCAGAGGACCCGGAACTAAAGCCAAGAGCCCGACATCCCAGAGAGATTGGAGACCAAAGGTCAGCCACGTGGGCAGGATGTGATCAAGCCCCAGTAAAAACTCTGGACCCCAAAGGCCCCAGGGAATTTCCCTGGTTGGTGATATGCTGTGGGTTGTCGCACACTGTGGCTGGATAGGGGAACACCGCCCATGACTCTGGGGGAGGGAATGACTGGGAGCTCCACTTTTAGGACCCTCCTGGACTCTGCCTTGTGCATCTCTTCCTCTGGCTGGTTTCAATCTGTATCCTTTCCCTATAAAATAAACGGTAATCCCAAGTACAGAGCTTTCCTGAGTTCTGTGAGTCATTCTAGCCGATTATCCAACCTGAGGTCCTGGGGACCCCGGAATTGGCAGCCAGTTAGTCTGAAGTAAGGGTCGTCCCGGGAAGCCTGAACGTGTGGCTGGTGTCTGAAGCCAGGGCCCTATTGTATAGCGGCTGTTCCCTCACGCGGCAGTTTGGTGAGCTCCCTGGCGGGTGGGGTCAGAAGTCCTGGGCAGACTTGGCAGTGTGGGGGACAATGCCCTCAACTTTGCAGTTTGGCTGATTCAGGGCACCGACGTTCTGAGGAGTGAGAGGGGCACAAGTAAGGAAAAAAAAAAAAAGACTTGTTCCATTTCAGGAACTTTCCCTAAAGCCAGAGAGAGGGCTGAGGAGTTCCATGTGGGCCCCAGAGTGGGCTGGGCTGCGGCTCAAGGCCACACCTGGTGCATGGGTGTGCATGTGGGTATATGAGTGTGTTTGTCTCCCCCTGCCCCCCACCCCCTGACGAGCTCTTACCCCAGATTCCCTGACTACCTGAGGTCTCATCAGCCCCTCCTGATCCGAGTGAGGACTGCAACTCAGGCAGCTGTCAGGCCTACCCACAGGCTCCATGGAGATTGTGCAAGCTTTTGCTGCAGCCTGTGGGCCCCTCCTGGGCCAGGCCCGAAGCTTGCCTCAGGGACAGGAAGGTCCTATAAGCTGCCTCAGCACTTCCCCTGGGCCCCTGCTGGCAATTTGCTCTCTGCCCTGCACAGGTGGTGGCCGTGGGAACAGCAAACAGTGAACTGAGAGATACTTCATGTTCCTGTCATATCTTATTTAACAACGTATAGACCAAATGAGAATAATAATATAAAAGTAATTTCTTGACAAAATTCAATACAAACTCAAGATTTATGAAAAGTTCTTAATAAACTAAGAATGGAAGGGCGTTTACTTAACCTGATATAGGGTATCTCCAATGGTTAATTCTGTCGACTTGGCTGGGTCACAATGTCCGGATATTTGGTCAAACAGTATTGTAGATGTTTCTGTGAGGGTTGTTTTTGCATGAGATTAACATTTAAATCGGTGGAGTTCGAGTAAAACAGGTCATTCTCCACACTGTAGAGGGGCCTCATCTAATCAGTTGAAGGCCTTAACAGGACAACGGTTGACCTCCCCCAGCAAGAGGGACTTCTGCCAGCAGACTGTATTTGGACGCCTTGAAACTCTTCCCTGAGTCTCCATCCTGGCAGCCTTCCCTGCAGATTTTGGACTCGCAAAGCCTCCACGATTATATGGGCAATTCCTCACAGTAAGTCAGTCACTAGCTCTCTCCCGGTCTGCCCTCCTCTCCCGCTCCCCCCTTCTCTCCCTCTTTCTCCTTCTCTCTCTGTCATATTTATCTATCTATATATGTATCTCCTGTTGGTTCTGTTTCTCTGAATAACCCTGACTAATACCGTACCTATTAGAAGAAGAAAAAATGCCCTGTCATCCGGAATGGTGAAATCTGAGACTCATTTCCTTACAGTTCAGGAACAAGATCAGGATGCCTGCTATCTCTATTTCTTCGTAACCATTTCCTGGAGCTCATTATCTTTCTGTGGGCTGGGAATCCAGGCATGATGTAGCTGGTCCTCTGCTGGCAAGGTGTTGGCCGGGCCATCACTGGCAATCAGCTCAAGGCTCAGCTGGGGAAGAGTCTGCCCCCAAGCTGACACAGGTGGCTGCTTGCAGGACTCAGGTCCCCATGGGCTCTTGGCTCGAGGCCACCCCCGGTTTCCTGTCACTGGGCCTGTTCACAGGGCAGGTCACAACATGGCAGCTGACTTCATCCGTGTGAGCAAGCAAGGAGAACCACAGAGAGGGTCTGAGGGACAATCTAGAGAAAGAAAATGACCAAACTCTATGACAGATCAGTCAGGGACATAAGGGGGTTAAAGATCCACAGAAGATGCTGAAGAAATTTGTAGCCTAAAAGAGCGGCAGTGGAGAGCATGATGAGGTGCTTTAGAAAGACTTCGGGCCTTTGAGGCGGGCTTGATTTGAGAAATCGTCCTGTGGCGAGCTACCTCTGAAATCATGTTGTCCGCCAGAGGGATGTGCTCAGAACCACAGTCTGGCATTTTTGAGCCTTAAACTAGGGAAATGCTCTGGAAGACAGGAAAACAAATGCCGACATGCAAAGTTTTAAAGAGCTCAGGCCCAGCTGTGGTTTTATTTGTTTTTTGTTTTGTTTTGTTTTGTTTTGTTTTTTTTAAGTAGGCTCCACACCCAACATGGGGCTTGAACTCGTGGCCCTGAGATCAAGAGTTGCCTGCTCTACCACCTCAGCCAGCCAGGCGCCCCACCAGCTGTGTTTTTGAAAGCCACAAGAATAGCAAGGAGGAGAATGACCAGGCGGCCAGAGCCCACACAGTCAGAGTCCAGAGGCCTGACCAGATCTCAAACCTTAGCTCATCACTCTCACCCCCAGATAAAGAAAGTAACACCTGAGGGTGTGATGCAACTCGTCCAAGGTCACACGACAAGCTCAGGACACACACTGTTCATCTTGCGGTCATTATCCTTTTAGGAATGGTACCCATTTCCCTGTGAGGAACGGCCTTCTCCTCCATTCTCAGCCCAGGAGCTTAGGGCTCTGACCTGCCACCCCACTCCGGGGTGGGCTTGTCGCTGGGCCTGGCCCTCAGAGCAGCACGCTGCATTTTCCTGGCTACAGAGACTGGCTTAGACACAAATAGGTGAGCAGCCAGAGAGACACCAAGAGACTTTTTTAGGACCACAGAGGTGGGCACTTTCTCCCACTGGGCTTGAACCTGGGCAGATGTGAGGCTGAAGTGAGTGCCACCATCTAGCCATGAGGAGGGAAGAGCCTGTCTGAGGCTAGAGGGAAAACAGAGGCCAGGCCCAGAGCTGGAGAGAGACGCTGTGCTTTGTCAACAGTGTCAGGTCCAAGTTTAAATCAGTCCCCCTCCTGACTGTTCATTCATTCTAATACGTTCCTCCCCCTTCCTCCCATTTTTTGGCCTAATCTCACCTGAGTGGG